GATCGGTGGCTCAAAGTTCTCAGAATTGGTGAGTCCCTACATATTCATGGCACTTTTCGATTACTTCTAATAGGACCTCTATCTCCTCAGGCATTCCACTTTTTAGAACAGCCATCATAAAATATATGTGTTGCTCTCCTTTTAAAAACAGAATTGAAATTCTACTATTGCTAATCTAGGCAATCCTTAACAAAAACAATAAACCTCTATATTAATTTAAAATAATGATCCAGATCCTTTAAAGTGGTCATAAAAATACTGCACAGCTGAATGAATAAGGAACTTTGTGCGTCATATAATTGAAGGTATTGGTCTTTGAAGCCAGTCATAGGAGTCTCACTTTGTGACCTTGGAAGTTTCTTAACTTCTCTGAGTCATTGTTTCCTCTGTGAATGTTAAGCAGCAGAAGTTACTTCTAGGGCTGTTATGAAGACAGGTGAATTAAGAAATGTAAAGTGCTCATAGGTTCATTGACTTCTCAGTAGGCCTAAAGAGAGTTTAGGGTTTTTTTTAAATAAATGTTAAAATAGCCATTGCAGTATCCAAATATGTGAAATACTCACTAAAATCTTTTACATGGCGATTTAAAAGTAGAGTCTCTTCTCTTTAACCTCCCAAACTCATCTTTTTCTCACTTCTCTTAACATCAAGAACAGTCTTGAGAAAAACCACAGAAGGGCAAATTGAGGTTGACATAGAAAAAGAGGCCCTGATGCTACTTTGACTTACTGATGAGATATCAGAATATATTTTACAGAGATTTTCTTCTTCCTCTTTTTTTTTTTTTTTTTTTTTTTTTTTTTTTTTTTTTACCTCTGCTACAAAAGCCACCTCTTTCTTTCCTTTCCCACCATCTGCCTGAGTCACCACCAGATATACAAACTCCTTGGCCGAATGTTATAAGGTGTTTGGGTCTTTTGAGACCCATCAGATACCACAGAGACTGAGAAGTCAAAATAGTTGTTGGTTTATTATCAGAGAAAAAGCACTACAGAGAAATCAAAAGGAATAGCCCGTATTTTTCCACTAAACAAATTGATCTTCCTTAAAATCTTTTCCCCCCTAGAAATGGAACCAAGGTGTATTACTATAAAAATTTTGGCCATATTGAGAAATCATCTAATGTTATCATAAGATCTGTAACTACTTTGCTAGTTTCCAGAAAACATCTTTTTTATAGTACACTCAACAACTTTAGAGAGATGTTTTAAAAAAAATCAAGTGAAAAGTTCTCATTACCTTCTTCATAATTATGGTGGATGAAAATTGCACGATATCAGCTTTTCTATTTGTTCCTTATCAGGGCAATCAGAGTACAAGAGTTGTCATTGGTTGAAGGGCTATGTCTACCTGAGTCTTCCAGTCTTGTTTTGGTTAACCTTTCAGTCTAAAGAAATAAAACTTGACTTGACTGCTACCTGTCGGTAAAGAGAACAAAAGGACAGCCAACAGGAATCTGCGTTCTCAGGGAGAGGGAGTCCCTGTTATAAAGCAAAAGCCCTTTGAATATGGGATTGGTGTGGCAATGGGGGGTGGGGGTGGGGTGCAAATGGGAGGGCCTTTAATCTTTTCAGTCCTTGAGATTCTATATCCACTGCAAAATTATGAGGAACAGAGGTGTGCTTCTGCTGATTATCAAACTAGAATAACTGGAGTCCTTACCAAATCCACCCCATCTCATGTAACTTCCCCTGTGATGGAAGAAGTGGCATTAGGCTCTGAAAAGTGAGCAAAGGACAGCCTAAGGATAAGTTCCCTTAAAAATTACATTGGTTAGGGGGTGCCTGGGTGGCTCAATCGGTTAAGCTTCTGGCTCTTGATTTCAGCTCAGGTCATGATCTCAGGGTCCTGGGATTGAGCCCCAAGTCGGACTCTGGGCTGGGCTCTGCGCTGAGTATGAAGCCTGGTTAAGATTCTCCCTCTCCTTCTGCCCCTCCTCTGCTCGTGCTCGCTCTCTCTTTCTCTCTCAAATTATGTTAGTCATTTTCACCTTTGCTACCTTTGCTAGGGGGAGAAGTGAAAGGTGAACATTGGCAATCTCTTCTGATTTTTGCCTCTCTTGGTTTCAAGGGCTAATTCATAAGGATTAACTTTATCCTGCCTCTTTAAATGGACTGAAATGTCCTTCAATAATCAAGTTGCCTATTAATAGTTTTACTATGCAAGAGCACCAAAATCAATTTATAATTTAATGGTTCCTCCTGTCAGGGATACTATTGATGGTATTATTAATGATTTTGAAACAATATGCCATTATGCAAATCCCATCTATTTTAGGTGTCTTTGCCAGGCACCTACAGAGGTACTGTTTTCTTTTTCTTCATCTTTGATTTTCCAGTCTTACAGTTATCAAATCCTGAAACATTTTCTAAGGATTATGGACCTAGTAAATATTGATAATCTAAAGGTAAACTTTCAGTGCTTATTGTATTATACAAATTGTGTGGGATTTTATATTTCTCATACTCCAGAGTATAGAAAATAAAACTGCTACAACAATAGAGGATTAAATTCACAAAGGATATGAAACAATGTTATTTGGTTACTTCCATTCATTTGTGAATGAGTGATCATGTTGCTTTTTGGGTAGAAAACCAGTAGTTTTTTCTTAACAGACTTACCCGGTTAGCCAGGCTACTCCAGTCATCTCTATGGTGCTCTATTTATGCAAATCAAAAAAACGTGGGATTACACATAGGATGGGTTGGGACTGCAAGATGCAGAAAGAGAAGCCAAATGTTTTTAGGTAATATAAGCAAGAGCATTGCAACATAACATTCAGCTTAATGTAGCTGAACTACATTAAGCTACATTCATTCAACTTCATGAAGCTGCCTTGATAAGGCATGTTAGACCATCAAGTCCAGAAGATGGTGGCAGGGCCCTTCTAATGCCCATCAGCACTTTGCCACACTTGGTCTTATGGGTGACTTCTTTAGTGGAATTGTACAACTGCAGTTTATGACTATAAGGCAGGAAGATGGAAATTAATACCCCAAATGCATAACTTCAATGACAAAGAGGATAGACATTTGGCAGGTTTTGCAAAATAAACTTGATTTCACTGATAACATCAAATTCAGTTCTGAAATAAAGAGTTCATGTATCATCATGGCTTACATCTCTTGTGCTCTCTCTAATAATTTTTAACTTTTGGAGATTGAGGAATGATCAGATATCTTAATATAGTCAGGGCAGGCTGATTTTATTATATATTTACACTCTCTCACTCTCTAAGTAAATGGGTCACTTCCAGAAAACAATTCTAGAAGTTAGACAGGAACTGTTCACTGTATACACGTAGTTGGACTTCATCACATTGTTGGTAGTTTTGTAAATACCTAACTACTCTTTAAAAATGATTTAAAAAATAAAAAATAAATAAAAATAAAAATAATTATTGCTTTAGTCATTTACAGATGTTCACCTGGCCTTAGTATTTCAGTCTTTGAGAACACAGCTGAGATAGAAAAGGCCCTGTTATGAACCCCAATTCCTCAGTAATGAGAAATTAGATATGAGCATCATTCAGGGATATTCTTTAGCTGAGGAACAGAGAGCCGGTTATGGGGCTCCAAAGGACCAGATGCAATCATTTGATCTCATTTCCACAATGTTAACCCCAGAAAGTAAGACTAAAGCATTTAGCATTAGGAACTAGGATTTTCAGAAAATTAAAAGCAACTTCTACCTTTATTTAATACTAGGAAAGAACACTGAAGCTCCTTGTCATACATAGGTCTAAATGAAACTTGATGGCTTTGGTCAATAACTAGAAGAAAAAAAAAAGATTATAAACAAAATTTGTTCCAGAAGATCTAGAAAACTCCACTCAAACTAAATAACGTCCATGACATTAAAACTGTGTCTATGTAAATTCATTGTTTCAAAAACTTTAGTCAGAAATGTTCTTGGCCAATGTTACTGGAAAAAAAATTTTTTTCAAGGACAAACAAGTGTTTAGGGGGCTCTGAGTAAGTTGCAATATAGGAAGTGATTAAGCCCTTATTAATTAGAAGGTAACATTAGATTTCTTTTCACAGTCATCAGGCTTATGGGAAATTGACATTTGCATAATATTTGCATTTGTCCTACTGTCTGTCAGTCACTCTCAACCAGAGGACCCTAAGGCTACAAGTGCTAATGGATGGATTACAGGAAGAATTCTTAACTAAATGCCTTGGTGTATTGCTAGAGTTGGAAATAGTATAAATGGTATATTTTGTAAGAGTTGAAATTCAACTTTGGAGGGATAAAAATAACTATAACATCATCGTTCCCCATCCCCCACCTTCCAAAACAGCTATTGGGAGGCCTCAGCTTTCTTCTTTAGAAAGACAAATAAAACATGAACACCTTCCCCTTGAGATCTAGGTGGAAAATCTGACTAACTTGAAGAAGAGTCTGATTCTAGGACATTGGGTGGGGTAACATAAAAGTGTTTGATTTTATTTTGTGATGGTCTTATACATTTATTACTTTAATAAAACTTTATGATAAAAATATTATGTTTGGAAATACAGTAAAGCAGAATGAAGGTAAAAAAATTAAAAAATGACCCATAAGCCAGTCACTCACAGATAACCTCTGTTGATATTTTGATGTGACTTACCTATTTGTTCTAAAGGATTGATTTCCCGGGCACAGCTCAGACAATCCTACGATTAAGGCATTTACTAAGTAAATATTTTTTTTTCTTATTATTGTGATCTGTGTTCTTCTGCTTTTCCTCCTCATGATGCTGATGATAAACCTATTAGTCCTGAGTTCTACGTGTTGCCTAAAATCATTCCATGGCCTTGGGCAGGGGAGCTATGCATTGGGTGACCTCTATAATCTTACAGACCTACCCCACACCCATTCTGGAAGAACAAAGTCACGGAAGGTTCTCTGGAAGTACAGAAGTTTGTCTGGAAGTGCAGCTCGTTAACCTTGCTTTCCTCTTCTCTATGTTCCTTCTCTTTCCCTTGTTCGTCAATTTCTACTCTTCTCTGTTTCAGCAAAACAATATCAGTCAAGGTAATTGATGATGAGGAGTATGAGAAAAACAAGACCTTCTTCCTTGAGATTGGAGAGCCCCGCCTGGTGGAGATGAGTGAGAAGAAAGGTGGGGGAGCTGCTCCAGGGCTGAGCCCAACAGCTTCTTGCTGGCCTGTGCCACCCCTGGATGCCTGCACTCTTCAGACGTGACTCACAACACACACATCCCTCCACCTATGTAACAGGGCATAGATCTCACCCCCGGGGGCCACAGCGGTCCCAACCTGTAGCTCCATCAGCCAATTCTGGCCACTCTGCACGCTGCAGGGCTGAGAAACGAATGTTCAGTGCAGTCAATCAGGCCTCCCATTTCTGGGAAAGATGGTGCTAACGTTTGCCAGGCCAAAATGAAGCCAACTTTCTGATCTCTCTTCCTAAGTTGGGATACTTCCTGACAGCTAAGTGAAGCAGGAAGAAATGGTGTAAGTGGTAAATTGGAAGAAAACGTAACCGGGGCCAGCTGGGAGTAGCCGTGATGCCCTTTTACATACTTCTGGAGGTCCATGTGTTGCCAGTTCAACCTTCATAACATCACAGTAACATGCAGCTTGGTGAACACCTAGCATGAGCGTGTGACGCCAACCATTTGTTTTGCCTTTGTCTTGTGTTCCCACAGGAAGATCATTACCATTAGAATATTTGACCGTGAGGAATATGAGAAAGAGTGCAGTTTCTCCCTTGTGCTTGAGGAACCAAAATGGATAAGAAGAGGAATGACAGGTGTGAGAGTATACAAAGACATACCAGCGAGAAATTGTACTCTTCTCTCTCCGTGTCTCCTACTCTCACACTTAACTCTCTCCTCTTCCTCGGCTCCAAGTACTATCCTTTATTTCCTTGGAAGCTTTAGCAATTTCATCCCCTTCCCTCATTCACAAGTGCACCAAGAAATGCCCCCTCTCTTCAGGAAACGCCCACTTACCTGGATTGAAACGCAGACTTAAGAAATACCGTAAGAGATTTCTGTAAATCAGAAGTGATGATCTAAATGCATGATTTCTGTGTTCAGTTATTCACTATTCAGGGATTGTTCTAAAATGTGGTTCTGACTACCAAATCTCCCCTTGAACATTAGTCATAAAAACTTAGTGATAATGTTTATTAGTAATGACTAATAAGTAATGACTTATAACTAATGCCATTAGTCTAATGGCAACTAATAGGAACTTTTGAGATAATTCAGTAATTAGGCTCCTTTCCACAACCCAGTTTTCAAAAAAATAGATATTTAATAAGAGCAAAGACCCTTGAAGAATACTGTTGTACACATTGTAGCATCCATTTGGCCTAAGATTTTTCATATCATCAAATATGACATTTCCAAGGGACAAGAGGTAGACATGAATTTAGGCCTTGCTTAAGGCCTAGCCAGCCTTATGCTCCAAAATGTTTTGATCCTTATAGAATTGACAGTTTTCTAATATGTATAGTAAAAAGGAAAAATAAATAGCAGTATCCTTAAAGCTAGATTTTTTTTTAGTTGATTTGTACTTACATATTTTTAGAAAATATTTGAACAAAGAAGCCAATTTCTTTGTGCTCTTTGATTTTATATCTATTTCCACGGCCTAGTTTTCATAAGGAAGGACAGGAATTTTATACCACCCTTAAAGATAATATTTTGTTCTGAATTATCACAAGGGCTTCATATAATTACCCTCTACTAGTGGCCATTTTAAAGGGATTATGTAAATGAGCATTCTACACATTAATAGATCTTACTCACTGCATACAAACATGCATGTAGTAGCATAGGAGACGATTGGACCACTTGGTAAGAAATTTATACTTTTACATGTAAGAAAAAAAAATCAAATATAGTCTATTCCTGTATAGACTCAACATTTGGGGGAATTTGATCTCATATTTGTAAGAACTCACAGACTTCAGAGTCCGTCAGAAAAAAAAAAAAAAAAGTATATGTCCTGACTTAATCATGTCCCAAAGGAACATTTTGGGGACTCATTTTAATGCGGTCTATTTAATATGCTCCATAGGCAGTAGGCAGAAGGAAAAGACACTTTAGAAAACTGAGCTGATTTCTTACAAAGATGGGATCAAAAATGCCTCATTAACATACAGGAAAAAAGCACTTACTTCTAAATGTATTCCTCCAAAACACTGTCTTTTATCTAAAGGAAGAGCATCTTAGATACAGCTCTTTCAATTGCCATTTTAGTAAAATATGCCCTCATGTGAAAGCAAATTAAAATTCCTTGATAGCACTATCTGGTTTCGCACCCTTCCAAGTGGATTCTTGTCACTATAAGTGAAATTACTGACTTGTTTTAGAAAGTATCCTCTAATGCCACTACCATTAACAGGAAAACAGGGCTGAAAATGTAATTGTAGCATTCTCCTCCACAACTCCTGAAGTAATTGGTATATGTTTAGCTAGGTAGCTTTCACCAAAATAAAGCGCCACTGTATAGTCTGGGTTTAAAGCGCATAACCTGGAACATAAATCACGGATGTCCCACCCCACCCCACCTCCACCTGCCTTGTCGGTTTCCATGAAGTTACAGGTCCACAAGAAGTAGTGTGATCGTGCACTTATAATATGCATAAGTCATAGATAAGGACACACACATAAGTGCTAATTCCTGGGACTCAAGTTTTGAAGGTTTAAAAAACATAAGCATCCCTTGATGGCCAGTGAATACCAAATAAGTAGAACCTCCAGAGAGGGCTTTACCTTGTGCCAAAGTCTCCGTCAGGCAGGGCAGCCAAAATAGAATTTCCTGAGATGTTCTTTCTATCGTCATTGAACGACGATAGAAATCATACCTGAGATCCTGGATGATTTAAGACTCCCGTATGTTGAGTTCAGTAACTCTCTGGCAATATGTAATGAGGAAGACTCAGTCAAATAAAGTTAAGATTAACTCCGTAAAATATTTCTACTGTGTGTGGTAAACTGGATACGTATAGTATATGTAAACATATACAGTAGAAATGTTTTATGAAGTCCCCAGGTGAACTGTACACATATAATAATCAACCACACACACTTGCAAAAATTAGCGTTGGGATTGTTTATTTGAAAATATTCCCAATGCCACATTTCCTTGGGGTGCACCCATGTTAGCAGTGGCCCCCTACCACTGTAATCAAATCTGCCTGGATTTCTTTCTGCTGATATTCCTCTTACTTTCATTATTCATCTGGTCTCTTATTCTGTGTTTGTCTTTGTCTGTTTCTTTCACAGCCCTGTTACTGAATGAGCTTGGTAAGCATTTCATTTCTTGCATTTCCTTTCCATTTTTCTAAGTTATTTTCCATGAATGTCAGGTGATACAGTACCTTTCTGACTCTTCTGTTATTTCTGTTGGTTTACTAGCCATATTGTTGTGTAGGGCCGCTGGCCTCATTTTTGTGTAGTTCAGATAGTTTATATTCCATTTTTAGTTCAGTGCAGTCTCTTTAAAAACCAGCGGTTGCTTAGGTATGCACAAGAATTAAATTTGTGCACTAAGCCCCGTAATCTTAAAAGAATGAGTAGCGATTAAATCATGTGCAGATGTTTTCAGTTTTTTCTTAACTGTGAATATAATTTGGCAAGTTTCTGTATCTTAGATGGGTGGTCAGGCAGCCAATGTCACTAGTATTTGTTATTTAGATTGTAAGTTAAATAAATTGTAACATTTGTTCTTTTTTCTTTTTTAGGTGGCTTCACAATAACAGGTATGAATTTTTAAAGCTAATGACGTCAATTTTTTTTTTTTTTGCTGTTTTCACCATGTGTTGTTTACATTTTTAAAAATCACTTCTCATTTTTATTTGCTTTTATGAAGGAAAATACCTGTACGGTAAGACAGTTTTTTTTTTTTTAATGTTCTTCATTTTCCCCCAAATGCCCTTAAAAATCAAACCAAAACCACATTTTAGGTAACCTGCGTTAACATTTAGCCGTGGCACATGGTGTGTTCTTGTTGACTTTACACATTTAACGTTTTACACATTAACAACGTGTGTGTTGTGTTCCTGTATATGCACATTTGTATGGAGAACCTGTAATTGTTCACATTTTGATACTGGTCGATTTATAAATGTTCACGTAGCACTGATGATGTGCTGTGTACCCCTGCCAGATGCTCCAGAGTGCCAGAATAAATAAGACAATTGCTGGCCTTAAGGAAACAGAGGGATTGACATCTAGGACTGCTCCATGGCCCAAGTTCAGGCTCCTACTAATACATGATGCCCGGTTAGCAGAGGACAGAGCAGTCCTTTCCCCTCACCCCACAGCACCAATCTGAGCCCCTGTTTGGGGACTTCAGTTTGAGCTTTATAATCATGGCCTCTTCAGGTGCATTACAGAGTGTTCTATAAAAACCCAAACTGCGAGTCAAAAAGTTTAAAACTCTCAAATTCATACTGGTATCCAGCCTGTGTTGATTACACTAAACTATTCCAAACACTCTAAAGCTATTTTCTTGTGTACAGAAGGAAGATGTTTCCTTACGGCATCCTCCCTTTTGACCCTAAGCAATTTCTCACTTTTTCAGAATCATCTATGCAGATTTAGAGAGGGACAGAAATAATAAATGGTAGGTCTGATCTGTGTGAAGGTGAAGGTTGAAGATGTCTCTAAAGGCATCCTAATGGCCATGGCATTTTCAATATGTTGTGCAGATACCAACAGTGGCATTCTTTTTTTCCTGAAATCAGCTGAACCAAAATATTTAAGGGGAGAAATATTTCCAAAAATTTCCATTTTGCAAATGCTATGGTGGGGGAGTTGGGAATTAATTAAACCACTGTTCATATAAACTCATGATCAGGTCGTTCCAATATGATTCTGTCCAAAGTGGAACTTTCTGAATGAGAGCAATTTCACAGGGGGTCTTTGCTCTCTGCTTCTCCTCCCCGGACACGGCATTTAATGATAAAATAATCCACAGACTCTCAGAGACACAGACATTGAAAAGGATAAAAATGCTAAAACAGGACAAGTCCTCACAGAGGGTTTTTAAAATCTGAACCATGTGAAGCTCCCCCCCGCCCCCGTCAAGTCTCCCCAGTTGTGCACTGCTGAAGATGCTGGGTTTGAATCCAAGTGTGGGAATTTGCATTTAGTTTTAAAACTTTTATCTTATTTTTCTCATCCCATGTTTGAACTCACTGAAGGCTTCTTGGAAATACTCTGCTCCTGGCACCCAATAAGTTGGTTGTCCTTGTGAGATTTCAGGGAGGTGGAAATTGGGCAAGGTAGCCTTCATGGATTCTGAAATAATTAGAAATTAAAAAGTCAACCATTGGAGAAATATTGTAGGGTCTAGCAGCACCTTAAGTCCTGTGCAGCCTGATAATGAGATCTTCACTAGAAAATCATTGGCTACATAGTGCCTTGTTAAAATGCATTGATGTATTTAGCTATTTTCCTATTTTCCTGATAATTGACTATGTCAGGATTTTGCTTTTTGGGCCTTCCTTTTGTGTCACTTGAAGCACCCTCCCTTTTAAATATCTAGGTAATAACAGGATCCTAGTTTTCTTTCCCCAGAAATTGTTCATATCATGTTCTAGAATATCTGTCCAGTAATGCCCAACATTTCCTGCCTTGGACACATCTTGCGTTCAAGAGAACAGAATCACTCCTTCCAAAGATTTCTCTCATTTCATGTACTTACTTCATTAAATCTTTCTTAAGGCTTTAATTTGAACTAGAGATTTTCTGTTCTTGCCCCCCTCTTCCCAACACTTGAAATTGATACAGTTAGAACAAGAGAATGTTCCAAAACTCTCTGGGAATCTCCACATTGGCAGGCCCCTCTCACTTTAGATGACCCTTCTTCTCCTGAGCTGGGTCAGAATACCTGGGATCCACATGCTATAGATGCCCTGGGGAAGGTTCTAAAACTTAGGTCTATACAGTGAAAAGCAGCTTTAAGCCTAAAGAACTTTCCTTTGAAGTCACTTTGAGGCTTTGAAGTCAAGGCTTTGAGATGCAAGGGCAGTAGAGAAGAATTAATCTAGCCCTTGGCCTCCGCCTGCAGCTTTTCTGTAGTCTTGTGCAGCTGAGTGTGAAAATCTAAATCTGAAGCAGAATATATGGAAATTGAAAAAGTCATTTGGTTCACAGCCCAATATATTTCAGAGATTTCATTAGTGGTGGACATTAAGTGCTGGAGGTGATTTTGGAATTTGCAAATCTTTATGTGTTGCTCCTAGACCTTGCCTCATTGAAAGGCCCTTGTTGGGACCTATGATCTCATTCTCCCTTGACCTTTATGGCATAAAACATGATAACCTCCTATATGTTATAGCTCATTAGAGTTTGTAATTTGGTATACCATTTAATCTTCAACCTTACAAAGATAATATTGTTCTCACCTATGTGAAGGAAATGAAGGTTGAAAGAGATTAATCAATTGATTAATCAATCTACCCCAAATCACCCATCTGGATTCAGAGCCTGGCCCTCTAATGATGAGTGTTCTAGCACCTTCATTTCCTCCCTTTCAACCTCTTCATTCCTACCTTCATCTTAACCCCTTTGCAATCCAAAGCCCAGCCATGGCTCATAAATGCCATCAGTGTGAATTCCAGTCAAATGAGCAATGAGGGGGACTCATTGCGTGTGCATCACACTGCTTGTGATGTGAAACTAGAGCGCATTAATTTGGATTGTTTAAAAAAAATTAAGTATTCTGGTTCAGTTTGGAAAAGAGAGAGGCATGTGTGATTCCCTAAACAGGCAGCCATAGAGTTGTATATTAAAAGTCAATATACTTCTCTAAAAGTTGCTCTCCCAGTTAGATAATTCTCATAATACAGTAGACTTAACAAGGTACGTGGCTTTTTAAGAAAGCCAAAGTATGAAAATTCTGACATTGTAACACACTTCAATCACTGCAGTACCTAGGGTAGAGGAACCAACCCCCTTCAATTTTAGCTTCGTTTACAGTTGAGGAAACTGAGTCTCAGAGAAGAGAATGCTTTGCCCAAACTTAGATGGCAAGCATTTTGGCAAAAGTTGGCACCAAGTCGATTTCATCAATTCTCAGATCAGTTCTAGGTAGCCCTTGGTAGAAGTCAACGGCAGGTGGATTTGGCAGTTGATTGAGCCAGAAGTTTAACGAAAACCGTAGGCCCAAATAACCCAAGAGTTACTGTGATGATGGTGTACCCTTGCAAAGCCTGCCAGTGGATAAAACATTCTCCTATTCAGACTGCCCAGGAAATAAATAAGCATGTTCCCAGATGCTATGTCACTAGACCCTCAAACAAACCTATGATGTGGATGGAGCAGGTACTATTATCCCCATTTACATGTGGGGAAACTGGGAAATAACCTGCTCAAGGTTATTGGCTATGTCATTGGCACCAGTAGGCTTCAAAACCAGGTTACCTGTCATCACACCAAGTGCTTTCCATTGTTTTGTGAGGCCTCTGGAAGCAGTCACTTGAAGGGCATGGACACTCCACCTCAGACGCTTGCAGGAATCTAGCAGCACCCCCTACTGAGGAGGGTGTGGTTCATTCACATAATCTGGCTTGGCTCCTAGAACACTTACTTCACTTATTTGTTCACTTCTGTGACCTCCATAGGAGTAACTCAATCCCCAAACTAACACTGCTTGGATGTGATGTGTGCATCTGGATGTGATGTTTAGTTTACTAATTCCACAAAGCTCTGGTAGCAAACCAGTGCATCCATTCTGCTGATTTTCTGCCTGTCCTTCTTGCTAGGCCAGCCTGTCTTCCGGAAAGTTCATGCTAGAGAACATCCGATCCCTTCCACTGTAATCACCATTGCAGGTACTCATTGCATCATGGTTCTTGAAAACCACAGTTTAGTTAGCTTGAAGTTAACTGCCTTCAAGTGTTCTTGAAGTCTTTAGACATGAAACAGTTTGGCCCCTGTCCCCTCTAGAACATTGCTAAAGGATACAGTGGCTTCTCTGCAGCTGGGAGTATGGTGGGTCATCAACAATAACACAAGCATATCCACACAGGACAGGATGCATAGTCAAGGGAGCAAATGGACCTGAAGAGAAGACTGACCCCATGGCCTCTCCCTCTCAAGTTTCAACATGTTCCAGATTTCTCGCAAGTCTTGCTTCTCAAAATGGGTCTTTCTTTCCAAGTATAATGAAGTTTCTTTAAAAGCAAGCTGTATTTCTTTCCAGAGCCTGCCTTTCTTGCCTCCAGGCAATGTGATGATAGCCACATACACACTGATGATAATACATCTGTGGGGGGTTCTCTAGAGGGAACATTGCCAAGGTGACCAGAGGACCACGCAGTCATCCCAAATCTACCATAAGCATAGAGCCCAGGCATCGTCTCCAAGTCTCTGGATGAGGACAGGGATATTCATTCCTCAATTATTGCCATCACTGGCTACTGTGGTAGAAACACTTCCTCCTGCCCCAGTAGGACTTTCCTATTCCTCACATCACACTTACCCACTCAATAATCATGATACCCAGACTTGACTGGTGGTTTTATCACAGGCTTGGTTTATGTCTTGTCAATACCAATTTTATGGGGTGCCTGGGTGGCTCAGTCAGTTGAGCATCCAACTTCGGCTCAAGTCATAATCTCACAGTTTGTGGACTTGAGCCCTAAATCAGGCTGTCTGCTGTCAGCACAGAGCCTACTTTGGATCCTCTGTCTCCCCCTCTCTCTGCCTCTCTCAGCTTCGTGCTCTCTCAATCTCTCTCTAAAAAATAAACTCTAAAAAAATACTGATTTTTACAGTGAGTATGAATTACACATTTGATCTTTAAATTGTGTTGGTTGGTTAAGCCTATGATGTTATGTGATTTACTATCAACTTCTCAATTAAATATGGTGAATTTTAAAAGTAATACTTGTATATGTATGCAGAGACAGAGACAGAGAATGAATTCTCTGACAAGCCAAACTAAAACTCCAGTATGTTATCACTGTGCATAAGTAAGGAGGTGAAACTGACTTGGCCAGAGTAAAATGGACTGTGTTTGATCCAGCATTCAAAATGAAAAGGAAAGAAAACAAAAACAAAAACCAACCAAGTGAAAAGGAAACAAATATAATAGACCATCCAAACAAATGATGTTAAACTGTTTCCCCCAACCAATAAAAGATATCTCAAGAGAGGATTTTTTTTTTTTTAAAGAGAGGACACTTTCTTTCCGTCTTTCTGTCTTTCTGTCTGTCTTTCTGTCTTTCTTTCTTTCTTTAATTTTGAGAGAGACAGAGACAGTATGAGCAGCATGAGTATGAGGGGAAGAGAGAGAGAGAGAGAGAGAATGAAGGAATGAATCCCAAGCAGGCTCCCCACTGTCAGCACAGAGCCTGATACAGGGCTCGAACTCAGGAAACTGTGAGATCATGACCTGAGCCGAAACTGAGAGTTGGACGCTTAGCCGACTGAGCCATCCAGGTATCTCCAAAGAGAGGACACTTTTTTTTTTTTAATTTTTTAATGTTTATTTATTTTTGAGACAGAGAGAGAGACAGAGCATGAACAGGGGAGGGGCAGAGAGAGGGAGACACAGAATCTAAAACGGGCTCCAGGCTCTGAGCTGTCAGCACAGAGCCCAACGCAGGGCTCAAACTCACAGACCGTGAGATCATGACCTGAGCCGAAGTCAGACGCTTAACCGACTGAGCCACCCAGGCACCCCAAGAGAGGACACTTTTTAAAAAAACAGACCAGTATTTGCCAGCATCAAAAATCTGTACCACAGATACTAATTTATCAATATCGTTGCAGAGCAACACCAGGATTTATCTAGTTGCTTCCTTTCCATCACATACAATTCTCTCTTAAATGTTCATGACATTTATTAAGTGCAAATAGCCCTGACCTTTCCATGACATTATGCCTTTGTGCTTGGACATCTGTCTGCCTGGAATGCCCCCTTCTATACCACCTTCTAGCCAACCTTACCACCAACTTCACCTGGCAAGCTGCTCTGCAGGTTCCAAGGCCAATTTCAAATATTTCCTCTTTTCTGAAGGCTTCCCTGACTCCCTTAGACAGAGCAAGCTGCTTCCCCACCCTGATTTCTCAGCCTCACCTCGCTGCATTCTAAGCTCTCCCATCTCTATACCTCACTTCTCACGTGAACAACAAACAGGATCTTTATATGCATATACAGCAAATGTCAGGAACTAGTTACAGATATAATAGCACCAAACTAAGCATTTCATCCTGATCAGAAGGATGGAAAGATGACTAAAAAGGGAATAAATAACCGTTTTTAATCACTGTAATTCAATTTCATTTGCTACCATGTCCATTTGTTCAATGCCATGTTCCAAATAATTTCATTTTGTGGAATGTGGCATTAAACAATGTGACCACATCACCTTTCTTTTGTAATTTCTCCAATTTTCTACATAAAGTGCCTGAGTCCCATTTAAAGCAACTTATCACTTATAAGTAAACTACGGAAAAGGAAGCCATAATAAATATTCTCTCTCCATGGTTTTGCAATTCAAATAATAATCCTGGCTGTTATTCTGGAAAAATAATTTTTATTTGCTGTAAGTCTCTAAGACATCCGTGTTCAGCCAAGGTTTTGAACAAAGACACTAAAAGAACCTACTGCTACGAAAACTACCAATAACATTATCCTGAGTTCAAGGATCAGAAAGCAAGGAATCAAAATACGATTGACTTGAGCACTGGGTAGACTAGACATCACATATCTCAACTAACTACTTCCTTGACTACGTATAAATTTCAAGGACAAATCTGGAGGACACCAGTTGGAACCCTTTGCCTTCTCTTGGGTCATAACTTCCCAAGCCTGCTATAAAAATCTCTACTACTTCTGCAGTTAAAATTAATCTCCTTGCCCCTCTCCTTTGATCTCTTAACATTTAGCACTTTCTGGTCAGTCCAAAATCACTTATTTTTTAGTCTCCGTCTAATTTCCTTGAGGCCCCATAAGGATTGGGGATAGAAAAGCAGATTCTAAAATATTCTTTTAGGAAGACACTATTGAATACATACTAAAGCATTAATATGCTACATCCTGCTTTTGCCTTGGGTTGGTTTTGACACTTGGTATTTAAAATGCTAGCTAGCGGGGCGCCTGGGTGGCACAGTCGGTTGAGCGTCCGACTTCAGCCAGGTCACGATCTCGCGGTCCGTGAGTGCGAGCCCCGCGTCGGGCTCTGGGCTGATGGCTCAGAGCCTGGAGCCTGTTTCCGATTCTGTGTCTCCCTCTCTCTCTGCCCCCCCCCCCCGTTCATGCTCTGTCTCTCTCTGTCCCAAAAATAAATAAACGTTGAAAAAAAAAAAAATTTAAAATGCTAGCTAGCAGTATCCCTAGCCCATCTTCTCTGTGCCCTAGCAGTGAGCTGGCCTAGGAACTGGTTCTCTACAAAATTTGCTAGAGCATCAAATGGAACCACCACAGCAGGGCCCTCAGCAGAGGGAAAACTTGTCTTTGGAGGGAATGAGAGGTATGGACTCCTGCAGAAGCTGATGCCTAAATAAACACAAAAGGCAAGAAGACTGGGCTAGAAGTCCCTCCCTTTCTCGTGTTTCCTCAGTCAACAGATTCCTACCACAGGCAGTTTGCCTGGAAAGTTCTAGAAGCAAAGGCATCAGGGCAGAGGTCTTTCCATACCACCCATACGACTCCCTTGGAGATGAGGTACTTTTGACTTGACTCAGGTAGCCTGTCTCGTTCCGGCATCCTGGGCCTGAAGGATAAGGAGGTAGAGTGATTATAGGAATGGTGTTTGCCATGCGCATGGCCTTTTTCAGTCTGAAATTTATCCTAATGACCTTCACATAGCGAGGAGCCAACTGTGAGCTTCCCCTCATTAGTGGACTCTCAAGTCCATTAACATTTTCTTAACACCCACTAGCCTCTCCTGGAGTGTAAGGAACCTGGTGGTTCTGGAAATAATCATGCTCACATGGTGAGTGGTATTAACTCCCAAAGGCTTCACCTTTGCCCCCCGTTTACTTTAAGATGAGCGTGGTCAAGGTCTTCCTAACAAATCTCAACTTTGCACCACAGAGCGGAAGCACGAGGACACAGGCATCGTTGTGAAACACGGAATGGATGGTTTGCTTCTTAACTTGCAACAGGGGCTCTGGCTAAGATCAGAATCTCCCTTCAACCAATTTTTTGGCGCTGGGGCATTTTCTGTTGCCTCTGGAGAGTGGAGAGGAGGAGGCCAGATCCCTCCATCCCTTGTGTCACTCCAGCACTTTTCATTACGGTTCCTTTGGTCACCTGCTAAAGGAATGTATAAAAACAGCCAGGTGAACCAGCATCACAGGGGACAGCTGGGTGATCCCTCAGCACAGACGGCGTGCAGGCAGAGTCTTTCCCAGTGATATGCCCATACAAGCTGCTTTCCTGATCTGCACTTTGGCTCGTGCTCAGGTTGTGGGTCATTTACAGTCACCTGCTGTTAACAGTGATGTGATGTGAAGTGATGACATGCCAGCACTTCTCCCCTCCGGCCTTATGATCTCACCCAAGGGACTTTTAGTAGGTCATTAGGACTTCCTTCCTTCTCGGTTTTCTTGTAGCAGAACCCAGGGATTTCCAAAGAAAATTGAGCACAGGGCTAACTTTCTTGCCCTTCGCTTTCACAGAGGAATGTGATGACAAGCAGCCGCTGACCAGCAAAGAGGAAGAGGAGAGGCGCATTGCAGAAATGGGGCGCCCCATTCTGGGAGAACACACCAAGCTGGAAGTGATCATTGAAGAATCCTACGAATTCAAGGTATGCTCACCGATGCTGCCCACGGGGGAGGCCAGGCCCATCTCGGGACCCAGACTGTCCAGACTGCCGTCAATGTCAGGAACTGGCTCATTAACTGAGAATTTTTTCAGGGCAGAACTAGAATTAGAAAGGTAGGGAACCAAGAGGTCCTGCAAACTGAACAGCATCAGAACCAGGGGCCAGTGGGTGGCATCTGTCACTGCCCAGGGTCAGAGGTGCCCCAAAGGGAGGACTTTGTCTGAGGGGAGAGGAAGGAAGAAGCAAAGGTGGATTCCAAGAGATTGTGATGTGTGGAGGAAACCAAGCTCTATTTGAAGAAGCCAGTGAATCCATTAGAAGCAAACCGTTCACACTGCAGACAGTTAGGAGGCTTTTGTTCTGGAGGGGGAATGGGAAGCTCTCCCTATAAAACATCCACCCCATTGACAAGTTCTCATTTATAATTAGTCCTCCTCTTCAGATCCTAGGACATTTTAGCACAGTCAACATACTAAAGGTATATAGTGCCTGTGACCAGAGAGTTCACAACTGAGCAGATGAAATTGGATTCCTGGTCCTCTGGATGATGAAAAGTCATTTTTCAGAAGTTAAGCAGATGGGCCTTAGGGTGAGCTTAGAATTTTGAGGCGAGGGGCGCCTGGGTGGCGCAGTCGGTTAAGCGTCCGACTTCAGCCAGGTCACGATCTCGCGGTCCGTGAGTTCGAGCCCCGCGTCAGGCTCTGGGCTGATGGCTCAGAGCCTGGAGCCTGTTTCCGATTCTGTGTCTCCCTCTCTCTCTGCCCCTCCCCCGTTCAAGCTCTGTCTCTCTCTGTCCCAAAAATAAATAAAAACGTTGAAAAAAAAAAAAAAAAGAATTTTGAGGCTAAACTTGCTGTCCATTTTAGCTGCTCCCTCTGTCCCTACTCTACCTCCCACCCATCTCGTTCACACAGCCCTGACAGCTAAGACCCCAGGAGAGCCACACGCTAATTCTGGAGCGGGACATGAAAAGGAACCTCGTTCTCTGGTTTTCCAGAACTACAAACCCATGGTGCAGCTGCATCTTCCCCAATTATTTTTCAAAAGCAGACTCTGCTCCTATTTGGAAAACCAGAATGAGGATCCCAACAGGGACAATCAGGCCAGGACCTTAGAAGCCTCAGTATTTTATCTCGATGTTTCATAGTAGTGGCCTCTTTTCCTTTAGCTGCATCCATTAATTATTTTTTAAAATTAGTTCACAAACAGAGGTGCCTGAGAGGAGACAGGTAGAAGGGAAAATGTCTTTTTGCAATTGAAGTGAAATTTTTTAAAAAATAAAAAATGCAATTAAACGTTCCCCTTCAGGCTGCTGCAAATCTCTGTTTCTTTCACTCATTCCCATGCAAAGGAACAGGGGTAAACACTGGGACCTGTGCTTTCTTGGCAGACCCCAAGTATCGGAGCTCACCTGTTGTTTGATCTAGAACCTGCGGACTGACACACACATACACAGGTTCCCTGTGATCCCAGGGGTGCAGATACCTCAGACTGTCCATTTCCACGGACCAGTCTGTCCAGATGTAGCCAACCTCACTCTTCCTCATGCCCCCTCTTTTCACCTGGAATCAGAGTGCCTGGTGCCACCTGCTATAACGGAGATTCTACTACTTGGCATTTCTGGGCAAGTTTGCCCTCCATCCCTCCAGGGCTCTCATGGGGAATAATTGTATGGGACAGCCTGCCTTATGGGACAGGCTTTATGGGACAGCCTGTCTCTCCTTTATGGGACAGCCGGCCTTCCCCTTCCATGCACCCAAGACTAGAAAGAGCAGTCACAGAAACTCTGCAGGAAGCATCGGACTGGGTGTGGCAGGGCACGGTCTTCCAGGCGGCAAAGCGTTCTTGGGTCCAAAGCTCTCTCCTGTAACCACTCCAATGACCTGGACGTTTGAAAGCTCCCCAGTCTCTTTACAGAAGTCCACTTGTTCGGGGTTCTTATCTTCCTAGAATAGCTTCCATAGGCTATTTCCTCCCGTCTCCTCAAAGTTCACCAGTAGTTACTATTAAAAGGAAAGGGAGGTTGAGGGCATGTTCCTGAAGTGCCCTCGAATATCAATATGATATTATTCTTTTAAGAAATTTATTTTTCTAGGTCCATAGCTGTTTTTAAAGAACCTATTCAGAGCTCTTAGAACTATATGAGAGACTCGAATCTGGGTGGTACCTCACAATGTCCCACTCTGCGTTTGCCCGCTGGGTTCCTGTTTACTATTTTGTGACTAAGGGTTTGGCTTCCTGACACCCACTGCTGATGGTGAGGCTATGACAATAGCCTACAGGTCCAGTGCAGTGAGAGTTCAAATTCATCTTACTTAGTGTCCCCTCTTCCCGTGGATCAAGGGAGGACACGTATGCAAATTAAGCCCTCGGAGGAACCAGGCTGTCCCATAGTCCCCCAGAGTCAACATGAACCAAAGTTTACAATCTACCCTGGGTTTTTCATACACATAAATTTTAACTTTCATTTATTTTAAAACTTTGTTCTTTAGAGATGTTTCTTGAGGCAACTCTGTGTGTTTAACTATTACAGCAGTTTATCTCTTTAACTGTTTATCTCCCAGGTGATGGGATTCTCTGCCTTGGCATCAGAACAGAGGGCTCCTTTGGCAAGACCTTCCCCAAGTTTCCATTACAGTTAGGAAAAATCAAAGTCATTTCTTGTCATATCCTGCACAGAACTGTGAGTTGGCACCAGCCAAGACACTCAGTGTGCTTGATAAAATGGGGCTGAGTCCAGAGAGAAAAGACATGCCTGTCCTGTGCCTGAAGATACTGTGGCCAAGAGCAGTGACGGTTACAGCGGTTATCAGCGGTGCTAGCAGTTCTAGACACAAGGCTAGGGCGGAAAGGTCACCACCCTAAGGAAAACATCTAGCAAGGAATGATGTTGAAAATACAGAGTGGGCCAGTTGGAGGTGGGCCCTTTCATGCTTATTATCATCTCCATGTTCGGATGACTCTCGTTGAACTAACACACTTGACGTTCCGACTGAGCTTTGGCCTTCTGTACAGGCTGCTCAGATCACATTTTCTTCACTCCCAGTTGGCTGAGAACTTGCTCGCTCTCTCTCTCCCAAGCCATAGTCAGTTGACATGCATTGCATTAAACGTGTATAGATGTTGACCCGAGACAAATAATATGTGTTTTCTGCCTCTTTGCAATTAGTGGGGATTCGAGGATGCTCTGACAGTAAGTGTGGATATGTGTGGTAGACTAGTCCACGCGATAGTCTCTCTGGGCAGGGTACCCTCATGTCCTGGGAGTGACCCTTCTCCCTGTAGTCGCTATGATTGGTGGTAGTGCTTTGGGTGTATCTGCCTGCTTGGTTCTCCTGTGATTGTTTGGCTGTTGTTGTTGTTACCTTAAGTGACATTTAGAAAGTTAGAGGGTGCTCACTGTAGAAAGCCAAGTGCTTAAAAAGAAGTCTAAGAGAGAAAAAGAAGTCTAAAGAGAAAAGTAACAGAGAGGGAAATCTAGTGCAACATCAATTGCAATGTGCCCTAAACCATATGAATTAAACTTCTCTTGTCTCGCCTTTTCTTGTTTGCAACAGAAGTAGCGTTAGAGTGGCTTCTCTAACAGCCGCCAGGCTGACAAAATCAGTAGCCACAGAAAAATCCATTTATTGATGATCCTGCAGCAGAATTCTTGGGGCTCTGCTCTCTGGCTGCATTTCATTGATAAACCAAAGCACAATAATAACAGTTTTTAGTTCCATAATCTATCTGCCAATTCCAGCTATTCAGAAACGTGTAATGCTGAGCAGGCCATATACTAATTCAGTTATAGACAGGATGCCACAGTTGAAGCCAGGAAAGAAGCAAGTTCATGAAGCATTCAAGGGGAAGGGATGGGCTTCTGCAACGTCTGCTCTTCTAAACACTGAGGCCATTCTTCACTGGCCATTAGGCAGTGAAAGAGGCTCGAATTTGCTATGAAGCAATTTATATTTCCGAATGGTTCCAGCCAAGGGCTATGCTCGTTTGCATAATCATAACAGTGTTTGATGTCAATACTGTTGTTCTGAGCCTAACATCCCCTACCCTTCGTAGAACTCTGGGGTTTCAAAATCACCAAGGTCTTAGATTTCCCAAGGCTTTAACCAACCCAACAGTTATCTTATTCTTTCCAACCCTTCTAGAGTACCGTGGACAAACTTATTAAGAAGACAAACTTAGCCCTTGTGGTTGGGACAAACAGCTGGAGAGAGCAGTTTATCGAAGCTATCACTGTCAGCGCTGGTGAGTACCTTTCTCTGCATGCTGTAAATGACAACGGCCCACACTGAGCTTGCTTTTCCTACTGGGACCACTTGGTCTATGTCAAAGCACCAACGACCTTCCAGGGTAAAATTAAAAGAGGAATAAATGTTTTGGTAACATACCTGCACATTTCAGAGACTGCCTTGGAGTTTCTAGATGAAGCACACGTCTTCAAACATGGCATTCTTCTCCATCTACACTGTGTCTTTCTTTCTGGAAATAGACAAGATAAACGTAAAGGCGTTTAAGGCTTTTGTGTCTCTAATTCACAGACAGCCAATCATGAGTCTTTGTCCGGAAATTTCCCTGAAGCAGGAGAAGTGGCCAAATGAAGGTCACTAAGGAAGGGGCAAAATGCTAGGTGGGAGAAGGTGACATTAAGACACTTTATCACTACCATCTGTATCATTTTACACTCTCTTCAACCGTGTCTAACAGATCAGCGTTTGCACTGGCTCTAGAAGTGCAAAGGAAAATCCTACCAAAACGAAGTTGTTTTCAAACTCAAGGAGTCAGAGACCCGAGGGAATTAAATATAGAAAGAAAGGTCTTTTTCTTGGCTTCTCAAACCTTGTCCACTGTCTGTATGATCGTATAAAGACAGAGGAAAGCCCCTCTCAAAGATGCATGAAAGCAACACCATTGTGGGATTTCCCCCCTTAATCCTTCCGTTCCATCTTGACTGGTTCTTTCTCTTTAGCACTCCCCACAGGTCCATCTTCTACTGTTGCAGCTATTGAACAAGACTAGAATGTTCTAAATAGTGATTCCCACTGAAAAGTATGGAACCAACATCACTGGCCGTTAGGTCGTGACTGCTAACACAACCCCCTCTTTCCAATCTGCCGTAGAATAATCTGACAGATGCACCGAAGTGGGAACAGAGGGTGGTAGGATTTTTGTGCCTCTTTGTTATTAATGCTGTTTATAATCACACTTTGGTTTCTTGCAATTGAGTAAATAAAGGAAACTTATGAACCTTAAATAATGGGAAATTGCTTGGAGAGCAGATTTGGAATTTACATGCAAATTCTCCTCGGGGGAGGGGAAAACTCCCTGTGTTAGCCCCTTGGGGCTGCCTTTACCAAGTACCAGAGACTGGGTGTCTTACAAACAAGCTCACAGTTCAAGAGGCTGAGAAATCCAAGATCAAGGCACTGGCAGATTTGGTGTCTGGTAAGACCTTGCTTCCTGGTTCACAGACAGGAACTTCTGTCTTCTGACTTGTCCTCACATTGAGGAACAGGCAAGAGAGCTCTCTGGGATCTTTTTTATTTTTTATTGTTTTTTAAGTTTACTTATTTATTTTGAGAGAGAGAGAGAGAGAGAGAGAGGGAGAGAGAGAGAGAGAGATCAAGCAAGTGAGGGGCAGAGAGAGGGAGAGAGAGAGAATCCCAAGCAGCCTCTGCACCATCAGCACAGAGCCCGTTGCAGGGTTCAAACTCATGAACCATGAGATCTTGACCTGAGCCAAAATCAGGAGTCAGACGCTTAACCGACTGAGTCACCCAGGCACCCCTGGGGTCCTTTTTATAAGGGCTTTATCCTCATGGCCTAATCACTTCCGAAAGGCGCCACATCCTAATACCATCATATTGGGGATTAGGTTTCAACATATGAATTTGGGGGTGGGGGGCACAGTCTACAGTACTCGCTCACTATGTCTTATGTTTTCCTTTAAACCAAACATTAGTATCTGAGGCATGAGCTTTATACTCCCTCTTCACAGAGTCAAAAACTAAAAGGACAAAAATGCTTGAACAAGAAGTTGCTGATGAGACCAGTTGAAAACATTAAAAATAATGAAATTATTTTAGGGGCTATGTTACAGCAGAATTGAAACGTTAAAAACATTAAAAGTAGCGTAAACTTTAATGAACCATTCCCAATGGTTCACCGGTCTCCTTTGGCTGCAGACATATGAGCATTTATATAATGGTCACAAGCTGGACATCATTAATTCATTTTTCTACATGTCCATCGTTGTTCTTGGTGGAAGAGATAGGACAGCACAGGAAACAGACAAATACCCCAGCCCAAGTGGAGCTTATATTCTACCCAAGGAGGCAGCAAATAAGGCAAACAAAATCAAGTGTGTGTATGACGATGAGCTGATCATGGAGAGCAACAAAGCTGTGGAGAGAGATGAGAAATATACGTGAGGCTGCACTCGACTGTGGCCAAGAAGACACCATCAATAGACACATTAGCCATGCATTTTCTTTTCGAGCAGTGGAGTGGGTTTGTGTTCGTTTATTCACACATTTTTGTAATTCACAGGGACCAGCACACACATTTAATGGCCAGTCCTTCACAGTGGCAAAAGGGCAGCTTAGAACGGTGAGAGAGATTTTGCCACACACAAGACCAAAGTTGTGATCCTGGTCAGAATAGGTATACAGCGAACCAACTATAAAGACGCTAATGCTTCCTTACTTTCAAGGGGCATATTTGGTTTGCAAACACTTTCATTTATAACGTTGAATTAAATCCTCTCAAAATCGTATGTAAGAGGTATTACGATTACCCTGATCTTCTAGAATCTGAGCCTTGGTGAGGCAATATGTCTTTGGAACAATGCTCAGAACCCCAGTCTTCCAAATGCTAGTCCAGTGGGCTCTCTACTACCCTTAAGAAAGAGAAGTTTCAAAATGAGTCAAATTGCTCCCTCTGCACCTCTGTCTGCTTGAGGGACTCTGGTTTTGTCCCCTCTCTTGGTGCCATGGTTTCAGCACTCTCATGATGGGACCGACTCCTGCCCAGATCCTTTGAACTGTTGTTAATGAATGAAATACAAAACCTCTCGAGTGTTCTTATTTGTCATGCAGCATGTTGTGTTTTATGTTACTAAATGACTGCTTGGGAATAACACAAAATTGCTCAGACATTTGCAGGCCGCTGGGTAAATTGACCTTATTTACAATTTTGAGACAAAATATCAGAAAAGCAAACCCATATTTTTTAAGCACTAAATTATTAGAAGGGCAGTTAGAAAGCTCAATATTTGTCATTATGATTAAATTTAAGTGTCTAAAGAATGTTAATGTTCTTTGGTTGTTAAATGGACAATAAAATTTGTAAAGCGGTATTGAAAACAGACTTTCATTGGATTTTAAGATTTCATTGCAAAAGAGTTGAGAATCAGAACCGTTTGCCTTATTAAAATATTAAATTGCTGTTAAACGGCTCTACTGAGACGCTTTTTCCTATGCAATTTTCTGTGCAAAATTGAGTCTATCTATCTTGCCAAACAAATAATAATTTTGGAAATAGGATTTTACTTCTGTTTCTCACTGATTATGTTTAAATTAGTTTCGAGGTAACCCCCCGGCAGTCTTTTTGTTCCCCTGCTTTTCCTTAACTTCAGTTCCTGGGCTCAATACCTCGGCTTCCCATAACCTTACTGTTTCTGGGAACCAAGTTCTTAGAGTCTAACAGTTGAAGAGTTCAAGGATTCATAAGACTCCAGAGATGAGGTAGGGTCTAGACAGTCTCGTCCCCGTGGTGGTCCTTCTGTCGCCTCCTGGGTGGGATACCAGGAGCAGTAGCATGAAGCAGTTAAGCGACCGTCGGGTGCTTCTAAGATGTGTCAGCAGACAGATGCTCTTCGACGAGAGGCTAGCACTCACTGCCATGTCCAGTATGAACTGTCCCCATGTCCTCCTTCCCAGTGCCTCCATCCAGGCAGAATGGAGGGCCGACCTTAAGAAAATGTGTACCAGCTGGGATATAGAGGAGAAACGGTTAGGTCAAGGAAGATGGCAGACTCCATCTGGGTGAAGAGAACCAGATGCCAGTGCCCCAACTCCACAACCACCATATTGTTGTTCTTCGCAGCAGTCCTGGGCCATGGTGAGGTGAAGGAGAGTGGTTGCAAGCCTGGCTTTGGAGTCAGATGTGGATCTGTGTCCCAGATCTCCAGAAATTCTCTGGGTGATTCTGGACAGATTACCTCCCCTCTAAATCTCTGTTCCCTCAAACGTAAAGCAGAGATAACTAGTCCTCACCTATGGAGTTGCTATAAGGATTAGTCAAGGCAATTCATCTTTTCATGAGGGCTGTTTCTACACTTAGATAACAGAGTCGGTTGTTTGGGAGACAAATCTTGTTGAAGAGTCTCCAACATAACCAAATTTTGTGTGAATACAGTCGATTCAGTTTAATTGCTAAAATGGCGAAGTGACTAAAAACCACTGTCCTTTTGTAGTGAGTATCAGGCACACCACTGAATAGGTAAAAAACTGAGATTCAGAAAAGCAACAGAACTTGCTCAAGAAGCAAGGCTGGTAAATGGCAGCGCCACAGCCCAGGATTCTCTCCAGTGTGAAGGGTTCACTCACTCGCTGTACCTGGGGACTGAGTCTGTGCCCGTGCACACACACACGGATACACGTATGGAACACACATCTGGTAGGGGATATCTGATATGCACAGACATGCACGTGTGTGCACATGCACACACAGGGACGCGCAGACGTGTGCACACACAGATACGCACAACGCGTACAGACACGCACGTGTATCTTACACAGCAAGTATCTTTCGTCATTTGGATAATTGAGCCCAGCTTAAAATATGAAGGGTTTTTTTCCCTTTAATATTCGTTAAGTCTCCCCAAGCCTAGTTTATAGGCCCATAGGGAGGATACACCAGCCAGTTCCCCAAACAAGAAGTATGTTTGCCTACATGCATCCATAGACTTCTCCTGCCTCGTAATTTGTGACCTTCTTTAAAGAAAGTCAACACACTGCCCTCTCTCTTATCTGGTAATTTTGGGGATCCGGCACTAGGGATTTTTCCGGAATTCTTTTACTACTTTTGACATAGAGTTTGCATATCCGACATAGTATCTGCTGGCATCCTCATAACAAAGGAACACTCCAAGGCGGCAGAAGAAAAAAAAAAAAATCCTTCTTGTGGTCTCGGTTCTGTATCTTATCAGCTGTAAAACCTTGACAAAGTATTTAACCTTTCTGAAT